ATATTTTTAATACTTGAAACACTTTTTTTTTTTTCTTTATATCTGTAGATCATGAGATTGAGATGATCATATTGGTGGGTTTTACAAATTTGAATATTCTCTTCTAGGGGATTTTTTAGGTGCACCTCACTCATAAGATTGACACTTTATATAAACTTTTTCTATTCAATAAAGGGTGAGGTTTACATAAGGTATTGTAAACGTAAGGCACACCTCACTTACAAAATTTAAATTTCATAAATGTTATAGATCAAGCAGATCTATAAACACTAAAAACGTTTGAAAATAGACTGTCTAAATAACTTTTAACAAGTTGCACTATTTTTAGGACCTATCATCTCGAGGTTGAGATGATCAATTAGAGAGTTTTCCAACGTCGGCAACACTCGCTTTTTTTTTTTTAGTAATTCAGTGGGAAAAACTAGCCCCTAGCCGGTTTTATTTTAAAATCGTTAGTTTTTTTTTTAAATCATTAATGGCTTTTTAATGAGTTAGGTGAGAATGCAAGCCTAGACCTTACTTGTGCTACCACCGTGACCCCAACCCTATTCTCGCCAGCAGCACTCTCTTCTATATGATTCTTTAATTACGCCTTACTCCAATAGTGTGAGGTTGACGCCTTATATAAATTTTTTCCTTCAAGAAAACACCAAAAGGTTCATATGTTTAAAGGTTTCGTCTTGGGGTGAGCTTATAAAACGATGGTATCAAAAAGTGCCTATTTAAAGGTGTTAGTGGTGTCAGTGGAAATAAAAACCACAACATGGTGACTAGGGTTTGGGATTGCTACCGACCCAACCCCTTTCCCCTTATTTCCCTTTTAGTTCAATGATAATTCTTGAAAGTAAAAATTACCATACAAATATTTGAGAAATGATAATTCTTGAAAGTAAAAATTAACTCAATATCATGTGTCTTTTTATGGGTATTTTGAAATAAAATTAAACAATATGGATAAACTATTAAATAGTTCATAAGTATTTTGATGAAGAGCTTTGTTAAAATTTATTAGGATGATAAGAATAAATTTATGTACAATTAAACAATACTCTTAAGAAAAGACATGGTAGTACTTGGAAACCTCCACCATCAACTTTGATGAAAGCTTTCTAGCAAATCCAAAGAGTGAAGGTATAGGGGGGAACCTTAAGGAATCATGAAGGACATATTTATGTTCATTTGCTGGTCTCCTTAAAACTGCAATTTTTTGCAAAAACGAGAGCTCTCCTACAGGGCCTAAAGATCATTCGAAGTAAAGGTCTAATGGGGTTATCAGAGTGGAGGGAGACTTCTTAAATGTCATTAAATGGTGTAATAAAGAACAAAAGGTTGTCTGATCTCTTCAATCTATTTGGTTGAAAAATCTTGGACATTTTTTCAACTTCAGGCCTTCACATTTCATTTGTTCACTTCCATCAAGAACCGAATAACCATGCTGATCGACTTGCTAAAATTGGAAGTTCTTTGTCTTCTTTGTATGTTTTTTATGATTTAATTTATTGGATGTAACTCTATTCTTATGCAGTCTCTATCAATAAAAGTTACTTGATCTTGTCAAAAAAAAAAAATTTATGTACAATTATAACACCGCATTAATTAACATAACTTAATAAATGAAACTTAAATGACTTTACTAGTTAACAAGGCATGGCACAATAATGGTCACAAAAATTTTAAGGAGGTTAAGGTCAGAGAAGCCAAACCTTGGGCATAAGATACCATGAATCTTTTTACACAAATCACTCGTATGAGATATCAGGACAATGCCAAATTGGTGGGTCACAAAAGTTCGATTTGATCTAGTCAAAAGTAAAAACTAAATTTAATCGTGAATTCGTCAAAACTCATATCTCAACAATTTTTGTTAGCCCTAGAGACTGGTTTTGACTAGCTTGACTGATCAAACAAAGTTGGGCGATCTTTTTTTTAACATGTTCTATATTTTTAAATTATTATTTTTATGTATTTTTTAAAGTTCTAAAATCTCGTCCAACATGTTCAATCGGTAATTAAACTAATTTTGATTAAATCGAGTCCCTCACCCGTTTAGTGGCCTGCCCAATCTTGATAGCACTAGTGACTTCATTAATAAACATAGGTCCCATAATTTGTATGCTTTTGGAACTAAAAGCTATTTGATTTTTTCATTCGTCCACAAAAATAAAGTGTGATTTTAGAGAATTGAATATCAACGCGTTAACAATGTCAAACATTAAAAACAAAAGCAATTGACACTTGATTCTGACATTTTTGTGGTCACAAACTCAATTATTTGATACACTGGAAAATTGGACACATGCAATCAATCATGCCTATAAAATCTGCAAGTGGGAGGGTTGAGACTTTTGTCTCCCTCTCCCCAACAGCGATTCGTCGCGGAGAGTATGACACCCCTGCATCGATGCTGGATCACGCGGTTCTCAAAAATAAAAAATTATTATTATTATTATTATTATTATTATTGTTATTATTAAAATAAAAAAAAAGAGGAGGAAGAAGAAGAAAGAAAGAGCTCGGTATAAAACAATGATAAGCTTTCTATATTTTCCCTATAACATAAAACTTATAAACCCCCCCTATCCAACCGTCCATTCATAATAGACGGTTGAGCTGGCCCCAATCACAATATCACATCTTTATATAATTTGATTTTTAATATTTTTTAAAAATTATTTTGACATCAAATTTTGGATGTTCACTCCTCTCTTAAACTTTCATTGGTAAAAAAATATAAAGCAAATATTCTTAATATGGTCAAAATATCCTTGAAAGCTTCAAGGGGCAATTTGGTCATTATATTTTATTAAAAAATTCTTTTTAATATTTTTTTAGGTGTGTCCTATTAAGATGATGACATGTACCAAATTTCATATGCATGTAACTTGTATAAAAAAATAAATATAAAAAACAACAATCTAAGTCGTTAGATCTATATCAAACGGTCAGTAGCTCACTTGATCTAAATTGGACGCTTGGATGGAGATGGAAGGATATATCTTTTTTGCAGTAGCAGAAATATAGAAACATTTCCCATAAACAGAAAAGAAAAGGAAAAATTCATAACCCCAGCTTAGCGAAAGAATAATAAAAAAGGAAAAACGTTTATATAAGGTTGTGGCCCTAAACAATCAAATCAAGACACACCTCAAAAATTCATTGCAAGAAGTTGTTTCGATGCCAAAAACCTTCAAATCTAATTATTTTGACCTTGAGATACATGGACATAAAAAAAAAAGTGGACTTCAACAATTGAAAATGGTGCATCTTATAATGCATTATCTAGACTCTTAATTTTTAATCTTTAAATTTTATAACTAGAGATGAAAATAAATTTTCAAACCATCATAAATATTTTCGATATTGAAATGACATATTTCCGCATTATAAGGGTGCAGGGAACTTTGATTGTTAAGGGCTTTAGCCTTATACAAACTACACCCCGAAAAAATTATGCTCGTATGGGAGCAAAATGCACATTGGCTCTTCCAGGGAAAACCACACTAAGAGCAATTTTTGGGCGTGGGTTAATCAACTTAGTTACTAACCTAATAAAATATGGAAAAATTTTATATAGAGCCGAGGCCCTGATCATTCAAATTAGAGCGCACTTCAAAAATTCCACTAGAAGAGGTTGTTTTGACGCCCAAATAGGTGCATGGACATGAGAACAAAATGGATTTCAAGTTTTGAAAATAGTGCATCTTGTAATGCATTTTTAGACAGTAAATTTTCAAAAAATTTCAAGTCCTCATAGATATGCTTGATCTACAATATTTTTGAAGCTTTAAATTTAATAATTAGATATGAAAATATATTTTAAGGCTATCATAAAGATTTCCGGTATTAAAACCACATTCCTCAATACTATTTAAAGGTACGTTTTATTTTCATTGTTTAGAGCCTCGGCTCTATATAAACCACACCCATAAAATATTAGATATCCACTCTAAAGTGCTTGAAAATACCATGCCCTATGATTGAACATACTCTATCTAATTTTTGGGTAAGATTTTTTTGGATAAATGGGAACAAGACCCCCTATCAGCTTTTCATTAATAAAATAAAATAACTTATAACTCACTATTTTACAATCCTACAATAGAACAATTGTGCAGCATCATGAAATAAAAAAGATTTAGGCATATGAGAAGTCAAAATCCTCTTCCTCTTTTTTATTGTGAAATTACTTGGCCTTATGCCTGAAAAAGAAAATATACAATCTGCTCCTGCAATAGCACGTTATACATGCCAAAAGAACTCATAAAACTTGCTTCTATGACAAGTGATACGATTCTAAACAACAATGGTGACCTTAAGAAGTTCTGATATTGCTATTGCATGTTTTAGTTTCCTAAACTGGACTGATACTAATCTGTGTCCAGAAAGTCAGACTCATCCTCTGACTTTCTGGGACTCGACCTCGGGATCCCCCCTGTCTGATTCAGGCATATGAGTTGGACCGCTCGACTTTAAAAAGTTTTCTAAATCACAAAAAATCTGGAGAGTTGTGAATTCTATAGTTTTTCGGCTAGAATAGCTAGGTTTCCACAAATCCAGACTCAAGCTTTCCGGCACAGAAGCTTTGGACTCCCAATCAGGAACAACTTGAGTGAGCCTTGGTAGGGACGGTGATTTTTTAAGCACTGATACAAATGATATTGTTGTGACATGTGCATTGGGTCGAGGGATGGAATTAGCTCAGTAATTAAATTGCAAAAACTAATGGTTGGAAATTATTAATGCCTCTTAGTTTAGGTGATCAGATTACAGATTACAGATTACAACCCCATGGAGAAATCGGTTAATAGTTTCTCAATTGATCCATGGAGACATTGGTTAATAGTTTCTCAATTGATCCAAATAGCAAGAATCAAACCACCACATAAGGGAAAAAAGCAACAAAAGCCATAAAAATATACCTAATCATCATCATCATCATCATGCCTTATCTTAACTATTTGGAATTGGCTAATCATAAAAATATGCATTAATACAAAAAATGAACACCCAAGTCTTAGAGAAGAATACATTAACAAACTCAAAAGTAGTACAACAGTAGGATTCAAACTTAGGACAGAGTGGCAATCTCAACAATAATTCCCTTCCTAAGATCCAGTTTCTCCATAAGAGTTAATGGCCCAAAGGGTCAAAGACTCCTCTATGGAGCTCCTAAAGAGATAATAGTAATATTAATAACTTAATCCAATAAATAATTTAGTGCATTTCTCCTTCAAGGACATATACAAAGGCCAGATTTTTCATTAAGAATCAACCCTAATCTCAAACCTCTTCATGGTGGAGGTAGTCTCTGAATATGGTTCTTCTTCTGTTATTGCTTTCAATTGCTGTGAATCCATAACTGATGTTCCACCAATTAGATGAGTAAAAGGATTTGGTGGTGGAAAGATCTCAACTCCTCCTTCTAGCATCTTCACCACATTACTCATACATGGCCTCAATTCAGGCTTGTATTGGACACACCAAAGAGCAATCAAAACCATTCTCTCTGCAACCTCTTTATTCTCTTCCCCAATTTCAAAACTCATCAGAGTCTCTTCTATCTCACCTTTCTCAAACTTTTCCCAAACCCATCTAGGCAACCACTCTTGGCTCTCAGGAAAACTCATCTCCAAATTCCGCCTCCTCCCCACAATCTCAAAGAGTAACATCCCGTAGCTATAGATGTCGCACTTGTGTGTTATAGGGAATGGCATCCATAGCTCAGGGGCCGCGTAGCCAGGAGTGCCCCTTCCTCCAGTCATGGTAACATGAGTGGCATCTCTGTTGCAAAGCTTTGCTAAACCGAAATCTGCAACTTTGGGAGAGAAGCTTCGATCGAGCAAAATGTTACCAGGCTTTATATCATAGTGAATTATTCTTTCCTGACACTCCTCGTGAAGGTATGCTATTGCCTTTGCAGTTCCGACAGCTATCTTCTGAAGCTTGTCAAACCCTAGCTTCTCCTTACACGTAAACAAGAACTTATCGAGCGAGCCTCTCTCCATGTACTCGTAGACTAGGGCAGTCATGGATTCCTCAAAGCAGAAACCGATAAGCCTGACTAAGTTGACATGGTGAGTTCTTCCTATGGTGCTCACCTCCGCCATGAATTGAGCTTCGATTCGGTGGTCTGACCTTCCCTCTAGGACCTTCACAGCGACATTGATCCCATTCGAGAGTGTTCCCTTATAAACCTTACCAAATCCTCCTGCGCCAAGTTTATAGCTAAAGTTTGAGGTAGCTGAACTTAATTGTTGAGAGGTGAACATCATAGGCTTGAGCTTCTCTATGTCACTAAGGAACTCGTCAATATTAAGCGGTTGGACTCGAGAATCTTGCGTGCACGCCACAGATGCCTTATCAGTCTTTGCAATGTATCCCCGGAAGCAGGTGTAAATCAATAACACTACCACAATCACTACTGAAAGATAAAAAAACAATAAAATGTGAGAACCATAAACTTTGAGAACAGGAGAACACCAATAAAACCACCATACTCTAATTGTCTAACGAAAATAAGAAAAACCACGAACTGTGGAGAACAAAACTTTAGAGCACGTTTGGTAGGTATGAAAATGCTTTCATGAAATTATTTTCACATGAAAGAACTCCCTCTTGTGATTAAGTGTAGGAGTTTTTGTTACGCCATTTGGTCCCACCACATTTTTATCATGTCAATTGGCACATTTTTTGACATCAATTGACATGAAAAAACTCTCACACCTAATCACATGGGAGAACTCTTTCATATAAAATTACTTTCACGAAAATATTTTCATGCACACCAAACTTGCTCTCAGAGAAGGTTTCTCTATAGAAGAAAGAGTCGTGAACTTGGAAAAGAATAATCATCAGAAAATGCAGAACTCTAAATCTAAACTCTAAACTATGAACATTAGGAATATAATCTCTCTCTCTATCTCTCTCTCTCTCTCTAGTCGGTGGAGGACGAAGGCACACGAGGGAGTAGG